AAATATAAAACAATTCATACCAGTATCCTGACTAATTTGCCTTTCAATAAAAGGTACGGATGGATACAGTCGCAGGGATTCTTTAATGACACATTCCAAATATTTCATTTGTTGTATATCTCTGAAAACGTAAAATTATTAAATTACTCGTTTTGACGGCAAATACACGGTTAAAGTATTAACGTCAAAAATTCCTTTAAAAAAAATCCACGACGATATACAACGCCAGGTTTTATAGTATTCAAACGCTAAATCCGTATTGTCGTGATGCAATCGCGCGTTTGTATCGTTGTTAAAAGAAGCCACGCGTTTTCGCTCTTATTGTAGAGTACTTACGAGTAGGTTGGGTCGTTAGACATATCATTTCCCAGTACAGATATTTGTTCTTGTAAAATTTTCTCTTGAACCTCCTTGTTGTTAGCAATGCAAAATAGGCTGAACACAATGCCAGATGTGGTCGTGTCATGTCCCTAGAACAGCAGCAATAAAACAGACACAGTCGACGCGAGACGGTGCATATGTAAACAGTAGACCTTATACTTAGTTTAGGATCGTCTTTATTGAAGTGGCATAAATCAAATGAAATCATTTATTTTCAGGTCATTCTAGACAATATAATGCAGAGTTATACAAATATGCACTTGAAATAAGACAAACCTTGTTAATATACCTAAGGTTTAACCAACTAAACAAAAGATACATTGCAAATGTTATGAAAAAATAATAGAAATTAGATATTATATCTTTCTGACAAGTAACTAAAAAGGTCGCATCAGCACTGTTTCGTCAAATTAAATAAATAAGTGAATTAAAAATCCTTTCTTTTCTTCAATTGAAAACATACAAGACAGTACAATTGCTTAAATCTATATCGAAGAAAAAGTAAAACCCGTAAATTTGTCGGCGAGAGACGGATATCTTTTCAATTAAGTATTATAATGAATAAGACACCTTGGGGCACTTTACTCACTAAATACATTTACGTACCTATTACAGAAATAACAATTATCAAACCTCAAATGACATACGGACCTCCCGACCATCGACCATACTGCACTTAGCATGCTATGTGCTAAGTGCAGTATTTTACTGTATACATAGCATACAACGGGTAGAGAATGGAATTAAAACGAATTTAGACTGTTTATAAACAAAAATAACAATCAAATTTGAGTACAGACTCATATCTCAGTTTTTCCAGAGAACTGCTACTGCTGTTGCCACTTTGCCTATTTCTGCCGCAGTAATGTAAAGCAGTAATGACAGCGTTCCGGTATTTGAAGGGTAAGGGTGCTGGTGAAATTACAGGCACATGGGACTTCTCAACTTATATCTCAGGGTGAAGAGTGCAGGGGCAGTGCAACTGTAACGGTTAGGTGTGTCGCTTACCAGCAGGCGCACGACTTGTACATCCCATTACTTAGTATAAAAAAAGCATCTTTGGTAATACATTGGGCAGTCAACCCTACCAGCTACAACGCGAAGAATGTCATTTGTGCTGCCATGGATAGATACCTACTTAGCCATGTGATAGCTCTCATAAAGTAAAGTCAAACGTATATCTTTTTTTTTTCGTGTGGAAATCCTCTTAGGATAACTTTCTGCCGCGGGGGCAACGGAGGACTTCTACCAGCTAAAGGAAGAGCTACGTCCTCCCCCTCCCCTCCTCACGTACTCCTCACGTCTAGAGCATCACTGACCCTCACCGTACGTCGCCGCCGAGCGGAATCCTTCCTCTTCCGGTCACGCTCGACGCCCTCCTTCTCCTCCATCACCGCTTCACAGAAGGAGACATGGATAGATGGATAGACAGAGGATGCCTCATGGGAGAAACGTATTGCAATATTTTGTAACTTAAAAAGAGTAATAAATTATGTTACCTCAAACATAAATGTGTCAACTTCTTCTCGTACACTCACATTATCGATTTTTTCTCCATCTATCTCGGCTAGTAACAGTAGATCTAGGAACGCGTGTTTGTTTTTTATTCCTAAAACAGAACAGTATCGTAGGTTATCTTTAATTATTGAACCGTAACTTAATGACAATGAACGATAAGTGAATTTAATTAATATGTAATGTTATCTTTGTTCAGTAGTGGATGTCTTACGTCTTAGCTATATTTTAAGCAATTTGAGTGCCTTGTTATGCACTGAATACTCTTCATAGTATGATTAGACTAAGGAAAAAAAGGAAAATTCCGCCTGGTTGGCGTATCAATCCCTGCACGGCTCATGGAGCGCAAAGTTCTAATATTATTATTTTTATCTACACACAATCATAAACTCTCTATAATGTGTTCAAAAACCGCAAATTACGACCAGCATAAAGATAAACTGTTTTGTTAGAACAAATTTCTTATCTGTGAAAATGTTATTATTGCTTCATTAATAACATCGAATTCGATGTTATTATTATATTCAAATTTCGAACATCTCTGAAAAACAAAACAATTTCTTTGGACCTCAATTCTAATATCAGTCGAGATGAAGTTTTATTCGGAATGAAACGTCAATAGTAAACAATTTTTACAATTTCACACGTTACTTGATATCGACCGATATGATAGTTGGGGCCATTTTAGTTTGTCTCTGAAGTAAAAATAAAAACTATGGTTGTGTGACACGCGTGGGAAACGTTTGTATTTGCCGGGATTCGCTCTGGACCTTTTGGAGGGAAAAGTGTCGTTTTTATTTTGACTTTCAATTATTTTGTGAAATCTAGTTTAAAATGGAATAGGATGGTGCTATTGTGCCTTAATCGAAGATTAAAACGTGAAATTATACGAATCTCGAACTAAAATACCCGTATCGGCCCGTTTTAAGGAATCCCGAGTCAATCCAAACACGCTGCCTCAAATTGCCTATCCTCTTTGTGGCGGCCATATTTACAGAAACATATTTAAACTTCATGTTTAGGCTGATGGCTTTGCCAAAGCCTTAATAAAAAAAATAAAAATAATTGTATTTGCCGCCATTTCGCCAGTCGAAACATGCGGTTCCTGAACACATCATAGAGAGCTTATAATATGTGTGTAGACAAAGCAGTGTATGTAACTGTACATAATTAGGCATTAAAACACGAGTGTTTTCATTATGTAACAGTCACATAAACTACTATAGTAATACCGTACGAATTCTCGTGCTATATTGAAATAACTTTGCTATAGTACCGGCACGCTATGATGGCCGTTTTGACGTTTGTCTGCTAATCAATTTTCGTATTAATTCCTAACTTCCTTGAAGAAGTTATTTAATATTACGACACAACTCGGCACTTGTTTTTCGAAATTCGAAATTTAAAAAAAATGAAACGTCATATGGGATCGCTGGCCAGCTCAACTTGTACCTCCGGCAAACTCGCATCAAAGCTCAATGTAAAACAAAGCAGTTTCGAATTGACGTCATAACTTTTTAATCAGCTATCCCGTGCAATACTAGTTTTAAACCTAACATAAGCGGCTCGCATTTGATTATATTTTTTTCGATAATGAATTGAGATTACACCTCACTATTGTAATTTCTCAAAACGGCCATCACTGCGTGCAGGTACTGTAAATGCAGTACTAAGTACTGATATTTTTATACAGATAATCAGTACAGAGTCCCTACTAAAAAAAAAGTTCATGGATTTACATCTATTTGCCAAGTTTCATTGAAATTGGGTACCGGAAAGTGCGCGAAACCGGAATCATCCCCCTAGTTTGCCATCCTTAGAAGTGGAATATTTTTTTCAAATTTAAATGGGACCAATATTGAGATATTAACTACCTAACAAAAAAATAATCATCAAAATCGCTTACGCGAGTATTCGCGTAAAATACATACAGCAAAAATACAGTCCTCCTAGCGACATCTCACGCTATGCAACGCGAGTGCACCGTGAGATTATGTGAATGTGTGCGTTCGTACACAGCGCGCGGCGTGCACGCCTACAGCGGCGTTGCTACGTTTTGTTTGGAGTTACCTTTCTTACAGTACGATAGTAGCATATAACTAAATTAGGATTACCATATTCGGAAATAGGACTAGAATTTTCCATATTATCTAATTGTCGCCGTCTAGCCTCAATCACTTTGATAGACTGGTCATGTAAAACCTTTAGTGCTCTATCTTGAACTCTTTTCATGGACATTAAATTAAAAATTGGATCGGACGATGCGAAAGCGTTTCTCATTCTATAAGCCAGTACGTTAGTTAAGCTGAAAAAAGAAAAAAAAATTGTATTGGGTTTAAATGGCTTTTTTGCTGTAGTGCCACTTATGAGGACATAATATTTCTGCACTTAACCAGGTATCTTTACAGCTAGGTACACACATCAAAAAAAGTTTGCGATCAATAGCATAAGCTCCTATAATTCTTTAAATTTAACTTTATCAAGAAAAAATCTATGTTGTATGCTTTCTTTAAATAGGAATACCCTGTTTGAAATTAAAATATAAAACTATTTTTTATTATTTATTTTAAAAAATTGAGCCATTAATCATAATGTAATAGTGATAGAAATTTCATAGAAAGAAAAAGACTGTTTAATTAAACTTAAACAACAATTTATTATTAAAAGGTGTGAATTCAATATAAAATAACTCCTCCCCTGGCTCGAATACATGCGAAGATCCTCCTGGGCATGCTGAGGATCAAGTTATCCAGCATTTCCTGGGGTAACCTATCCCATTCTTCAATAGCGGCTTCCCTGAGCTCTGGAACTGTCTGGGGACGTGGCTCACGGTTCCATACTGCTCGTTTAAGAGCATCCCATACGTGCTCTATTGGGTTTAAGTCGGGCGAGCCGGCAGGCCAGTCTAATCGTGTGATATCGTATTCTTGAAGAGCAGCATTGACTCGTTGAGCTCGATGTGCGGGCGCATTATCATCGACCAGTACAAATTGGTGCCCATGGTTTACTCGGAATGGTCTGACGATATCATCAATAGCAACTGCTTTGTACATGTCTGCTGTCATGAAGCCCCGATACGGGATCAAAGGCGTTCTAGCTCCAATCATAATGCCACCCCAAAAGGAAGCCGATTTTCCGCCTTGCTGAACTGTTCCAGTGGCAGTTCTTTGTCTTTCACGGTCGCCTGGTCTTCTCCAGACACGGACACGTCGGTTATCTGGATGAGTGCTGATTCGGGATTCGTCAACGAAGAGACAGTTTTGCCAAATGTTTTCGTCCTCACCTTCTTCATTTTGCCGAAGTCTAGCCCACTGCAATCTTCGTTGTTGACGTTGCCGGGAATTGAGCGGAGCTCGCCAAGACCTCCGTGCTCGTAATCCAGCCTGGTGCAAGCAATTGCGAACGGTCTGCGTGCTAACTTCAAGCCCAGAGGCGGCCCTGACTTCTGCTTTTATTTTAGTGGCGTTGATTGTTGGATCACGGGCTGCCAGCAATCTAATATAGCGCTTTTGGGCAGCTGTCAAAACAGTTGGGCGACCGCTGCGGGGTCGGTCAGCTAAATTCCCCATTCCGTGATACCTCTGCAACGTAGCCACGACACAGGATTGGGATATAGCAAATCTGCGTGCTATTACTCTCGTGGTGTATCCTTCTTCCCTCAAAGTTACTATTCTAGCTCGTAAAACCTCTGATAATCCTCTTGGCATTTTTTCAATCACAACTTTCCGCGAAAAATATCTTGAATCGCTTATAATTGACTAAATCAGATTTCTGAATGTGCGTAAGCTAGGACTGAAAGCCTTTTTATATGAAAAAACAATTGAACGGGGTCATTGTTTTATGTTCTAATTTATTTTTAAATAAAGAATCTAAAAAGAAGAAAAAATCATAATATAATCTACAGTAACAAAAAATATTTCAGTTTTTCGAAGTGATCGCAAACTTTTTTTGATGTGTGTACCTACTAGAAGTCAGACAGATATGTCGCTGTATTGATTGCAATAAAAATACTCCACTAGTTTGTTATTATTATTGACACAGAGATGGAACAAACACAATGAAAAATTCCTTCGATATTTATTATTATTATTCTTGCTCGATCATTAACTTATGTTAATTAATTATCATTATTTAACGACGTCTTTAAATAAATGGGTTTTAATTGATTTATAAATAAGTATTAAGTTCTCACTCTTTAATGGCCTTCACGTACTGCGATTCACTGTCATTTTGGGCGCCGACAGATACTCCCATTATGGATTCTGTAATTCACTAACATGATTATCATCAACTTATTACACCTATTGACCATGCCATTTGGCCTGATATGATTTGGATGATACTTCACATATCTTTCAAGAACCATCTCTGGCATCACGGTGTATTTCTTCAACATTTGCAAATGTTTTGTTTGCATTCTGCGACGGAATTCGATGCCATTACAAAAAAAACTTTCAAATGCGAAAAGGTTACAAAAAATGCATGTTTTTAATTGTGCTTACATTGTATGGAACCAAAATATTATCAAAGCTTTTTTAAACATTTTGCATTGTTTTTTTATGTTAAATTTTATTTATTATCCTAATGACATCGTTTCGACACACAACCATTTGTATAGTTTTTGATGCCATGATAACATTGTACCTAACAGAGCATTGTAACATTACAAACAGGTAGATTTTTTTGGATTTTTGAAGAACTTATATGTTTTTTTTATACTTGTTATCATATTTTGTATGCACATGTCAAACAAAGCCGATTTTTATTTATATATGAAAACAAAAACAATTATTAAGTGTTATGATTGCGATAACACATCTATTGTTAGAAAAATTTTATGGCGGCTAAAAACTTACAAACAACTATCTTTTCACTTCTACCACAGCCTTCACTCCGAACTAAGATTTTTTGTTTTTTATTAAATTCTACACAAATTAATCTCCTCAGCAAAATCTAAATAGAAATAAAAAATCGATTTCTTAAATAAAACAGGGTTGACCACAATATATTTAAAAAAGTATAAAGTAGCTTTTGATCGTTGAGGATAGTTATCATGACATAAAAAATGGTTGTTAATAGTTCTTTCAATTGTTTTGTGGATTGTGGGTGAATTTTCTCATAATATGAAGAGAAGAACATGTTAATAAACGAGTTTGAGAAAAATGTTTGTGATCTGTGTGGATCTATGAGATGAAACAGACAGCGAGTTGTTTGTTTCCATTTTTGATGTCGAATTCAAACTCCGAGTATAACTTGAAAAATCAGAGAACGTTAATCTTTTCACTTAAGATCTAAATTTAACTCCATGAGGTCAATGATTAAGCCGGGTACTCATCAGCGATCTGTAACTGTAACGTGATAGATACAGTAACGAGGTACTAGTGTGTACGCTTGAAACAGTCTTTAATAAGACGCGACGGCGACTGTGAACCACACGTGTTCTGCTCGCGGCAAGTTCGCGAACCACGTACACACTATGACTTTTGGTAACATAACGTGCAACGGTTACGGTTACAGCTCGCTTTAGAACGGCTTCAGAACGGTCCAAAGTGTCAAACTTGGTGGGGTTTTGACTGTACTGGCGCTACCGGAGATTCGAATATTCTCCTCCTTCTTAACCTCTTAATTAACCCGTTCATTGACAATAACGGTGTTTATAGTAAAATTAAATATCACAATATAATAAGTACGGAGTACCCCGTTAATCTATACGAGTCTAAAAAAAAAACAACTACGGGTTTTACAGTACAATTTCCAAATGCTTTCTGTGTAGTGGCCGCCAACTACTTCTTCAAAATAGAGAAGTAGCAACAACATATTGAAATTATTTAATGATTTAAACTGAACCTTATTGTACCTACCAATATAAGCACTATGGCACAAAGAAATATATTTTTGTGTTTGTATTGTCCATGAGCAGGTTAAGAAATGACTATGCCTACTTGGGCTTCGAATGGGAATGAATGAATTTAAAAAAATAGTTACAAAGCCAATATCAAATTTTGACCAAATGCTATTAATAAAAACTAATAACAAACCTGTTACATTATCAAGAGCAGTTAAAGCAATTATGGGGAATAAGTCAACTGGTTCTCCCTGAGCGGCGTATGAGCGAAGTTTTTCTGTTAAGATTTTTCCACTTTTTACGAAAACGGGCAGAAAATTCTGAAGTATGTTGAAATGAAAAGCGGGAGTCAAGAATTTGCGATGATTCTTCCAACGGCGACCTAAAAAACGCGATTTATCTCTACATATTAATAAAATATAAATACAAAAAATACAAAATAAAAATATCTTTGACCATCCAAATGTAAGGTCGGTTTGACTTAGCAAGAAAATATTTTTTTATGTTTCCCAGTCTTTTTTGGATCGTTTTCAAGAATAGTGGTCTCTGCCTAATTTCTGTGGCAATTTTTATAACTTGAATATTATTTGTATATATTTTTTTATAATATCAAGTGACCGGACGAACAAGGCTACACGCCTGTCCATACCAGTTGCAGTGTCACTCAGAGCTTTAAATCTCAAAGACCTGAGGAGCACTGCCACTGTGCCCGTCACCCTAACACATAAGTTAACAAGTCCCATGTGCCCTTCAAAACCGGGACACAGTAATGCTGACATTACTGCATCATTCATATACATACAATTATGCAAGTGTTGATGTCCTTCTTAATCGTGTAATTAATGTAATTGGTATGTACCTGTTGATGTTAAGAGACCTTGACCAAGCCATGGGTGCAGAAAATCATAGGATTTTCCCTTAGAAAGAAATTCCGTACTTGACATTATAGCCTGGAAAACGATTAGTTATTTTTAGATCGCTTATGAAATTAAAATGCTGCGCAGATGGAGCAACTTTGATCATCGAGTTTCGGTAACTAGTAATCCGCAACTAGCTGTTTACGACGTTTTTCATATAATTTCAAGAAACCGCGCAGACGTAGCAACTTCATTTGAGAGTTTTGGCTATCGACTATAGTTTTCGACTGCCGAAATCCGTGATTAAATAAATTCTCAATTGTCGCACCTAGAGACTTGCACATTTGTACCGGATGTCTCCAGTTGCCAGTTTCCGCGACCGGCAATCGCAACTCGAGAAGCAACTTCACTCCCTCCTCGTCCCCCGCAGCGTCAGTCTTGGCAGTGGATTTCGAAAGTTTATTTAAAATTGCGGCAACCGGCAACTAGACCTTTTAGTTGCTACAACCGGCAACCGTTCGTGGAAATTTGTAAAAAGTTGCCAGTTGTGTCAACTAAAGTTGCTACATCTGCGGAGCGCCTAAGTAATCACTAATCACCTCACAGAGAATGTAATTTACATATAATTTTATTGAAAGCGCAATAGAAAACGAACCTCAAAAGTTTGTGTATTTACGTCTCTAGTTTCACTGGAATCAGTTACCGAACGGAAAGTGGGTGAAATCCAATAAATTGGATTCATCCCCTAATTTGCCACGCTTAGGGGTGGAACATTTTCTTCAAATTTGAATGGACCTGGGTCGTTTTCAGATAACCTCCGAAAATGTGACCCTTTCAATAATTTTTATGTTATTACATGATAACCAAAATTAAACAAGGTGCAAAATATTAGGCTGTAGAATTAATTCAAAGGTAAATGATCACTGACTGCCCATACTAGAAAAAATGTGTATTATGGGTGTCAGTCATCATCCGTGACAGCTTACAACCTTGACAGGCATTATGAACTAAGTGCTGTATTTAACGTTTAAATATAGTTAATTAAAATAATGTAATATAAATAGATACAATTAAATTAATGTAGTACGTTTATCTCGTGTGTGTGTGCGTGTGCGTGTGCGTTAGCGTGCACGTGCGCGTGCGCGTGTGCGCGTGCCTGTGGGTGTGTGTTTGTGTGAATCTTGTACGAGGGCGATTTGTTAAATACGTTACTTTAAGGTTAAATAAAATCTTTTTTCAGAATTTATTTTTATTTCTTAGTCTAGAACTCTTGGATAAACAATTGAAGTATCGTTTTAAGAATTAGCACGAAAATAAAATGGAAATAAAAATTAGGTGAGGTCGATATTTGTTAAGGATGGAGACGGAATTTCGAGTATCCGTTTCTCGTCTGCAATCAGAACATCAAAACTTGCTGAGCTATGATAACAACTATTGCCACTTGGCCCTATGAGACTTTTTTACCGATATGCTTAGAATAATAACGCATAGAATGATAGTTTCATATCAAACGAACTGTCACAAGTGAGCCAAAAATCAAATTCATGTAGGCTAGTTTTAGTAGTAGGTTAATTTTCGGTTTTAGTGAATATTTATATAAAAATACAAGTTGAAACGCGTTTCTTCCTTGTGTGTGGAATGTGATGTTAGTATCTATTTTATGTTTGTCTGACGTATTTTTACACTCATTTACCGCACATTTAGTCATTTTTAGCTAAAATTCTTGATCTGTTCGCGGTGCAAGTAGTCCTTGAGCACTGAAGGCCCGCCCGCTCGTTTAGGCCCTTTTGGCGCGCTCCAAGTTGCCTCACTTAGCGTGTGCGGACTAGGTTTCTATGCGTTATTATTTTAAGCCGATATGCATCAAATGACGAAGTAACAGCTCAAACAGAAGCTTATTTTATAGTGTGAGAAAAAAAGAAATTTTTTTAATGGGTTGAAGAAGTCGCTGGTGAAAAAAGGTTCTGTTTTTTCTGAAATTCACGGACTTATCAAACCGCCCTCGTAAAGGTAAAGTCATACCTAAGGATAAGAAAAATACTTCTAAGTATTGTTTATAAGAACATTTACTTACTTCAATAAATTTTACGTCGCTTATAAGGAAGTATCGCTGCGAGAGAATGTAAAAACGCGAAATACCGCCATACTTTTGTGATAAATATTGAATATTTTTTACCATAACTGAAAAAAAAAGAATGACAAAGCTTGTAAAGGGAGACAAGCACATGACATCTCAATCTCAACTTAGGTTCATTATACACGGCGCCATCAAGCCGCGCGCCGAGCCACCGCAGTTGTGACTACAACCCTTGCAACAAAATTGTTTACACACTTTCATACACGCACCGTGGCGGCCGCGTCACTCGAAACAATCAATGTCAATTTAAATGTACTATTTTCGTTGATCACGCCGTATGGGCTTCACCGCTGCAGTCGCGCCGCTGCCGCTGGTGCCGCGGTATGACGCCGCGGAGCTATAATGTACTTTAGCCTTAAGATTTAAGAGGCCATTTTTCGGACATCAGCTTTTTATTCCAAAATCTTATAGAGCTAATGATTTAAAATGCTAGAGTAGAACTCTCGAGTGACAAAAGTGCCTAGTAACGAGGAAAAAATACTTCTCGAATATTTTTGAAATCCGGATGAAGTGAATTAATTACCCTGAAACTATTACTAAAAATGGCATATGTAGTTCGTAAATACATTTTTATTTTTATTTTAGAATTTAAAAAGGGTACAATTTTCTTATCTTAAACATAGTCCTACAAAACGGAAGGATCCAAATGAATCTCAATTCAATGGAATGTTAAAAACTGGTAGGTACCTACTTACTATGATTAAGTTCTTAAATAAAATAATTACGTTCATGACCATTTATTATTTTTTTCACTTTATACGGATAAAATTTTATGCAGCTTTCAAACTACACACTGGTACCACTCGAAAGTTTTAGTCTAACGTTTTAAATCTATAAGTTTATAAAACAAAAAGTCGATTTTGGAAATATGACTTTTATAACAAACATGCGCTTGCAGTAGGTATGAAGGATCCAAAATCCAAAATGTCGAGCTTGCAATGCTCATGATTTTATAATAGAAATGTTAATGAAATTTTAGAAACAAACAAATAAATACTTGTACTCTTTGAATAATAACGCTTGTACAAATTTACTGTGGAAATGACAATTGCGATAATATAAAAAAATAATAATTATTATCTACGTAATTTTAAATAACTTACCTGAAGAATCCCCGAGAAACAAATGTCCATTTCCTATAACAGGAAGAGGGAATGGCCCAGGAACTGAAAGGCTTTTCGCATCCTTAATTAATTTTAACCAAGAAAGTAATATAACTGCAGCCAAAATAAAAAGCAAAATTAATAAGAACATTTTATAAGTGCTGTGCACAGAATTCACGATTGCTCTTAAACGGCGCTTGTAAGTATATGAAGTCAGCTGTTTAAAGAAACTATTTATAAAGGGTATCTAATATTCATTAAATAATAATTCTGTCACCGTTAATTAAAAGGGCTCATGTTACACTTTTTCTAAAAATGAATTACGTATACTGCCGTAATCAGCCAAAAATAACTCTTATCTGCCACTATTTTTATTTTTATCCTACGTGGATTAGGTATGAAGCTATCGTAACAGAAAAGGACGTAAGTACCCACATTTTTATGGTGAAAATAAGTTAAACGGACTTCTTTACAAAAGAAATTGGTAAAAGGCCGTAATTGCATATAATACGTATACGGCACATCGTTTTAATTACCACTTTCAAATTTTAATTACAAGTCACATTTTTTAAATCTTCTTCAGTCAAAGCTCTACATGTATGTAGCTATTGTAAAATGTTAATTTCTCAAATGGCGGTTACGCAATACTCACATAAATTTAAAATAAACTGGAAGTGTTACTTTTCATTTAAGAAATAAAAATCTTGAAAATATCAAGCTACGACATTGAAGACAAATATTTATTGCCCTTTGATCTTATTATTACACTATCGTTAACAAAATTGTAATAACGCTAAGATGAAAAGGCATAAGGGTCACATGCGGCCATCTTACCTACATATAGTATTGAGTATTTTACGAACATTTATTACTAAGTTAAAAAAGGGTAACAATATTAAAACAATGATGCATAATAATAAAATATTTTAATTCCGTATTCCGTGTATTATATATAAAGTGTCTATGTTTTGGAAACAGCAGACATTTTTTAATTTAAATTCTTTAGACCTTAGAATAATAACGCATAGAAACCTAGTCCGCACACGCTAAGTGAGGCAAATTGAAGCGCGCCCAATGGGCCTACACGAGCGGGCGGGCCTTCAGTGCTCAAGGTCAACTTGCACCGCGAACAGATCAAGAATTTTAGCTAAAAATGACGAAATGTGCGGTAAAGGAGTGTAAAAATACGTCAGACAAACATAAAATAGATACTAACATCACATTCCACAAGGAAGTAACGCGTTTCAACTTGTATTTTTTTATAAATATTCACTAAAACCGAAAATTAACCTACTACTAAAACTAGCCTACATGAATTTGATTTTTGCCTCACTTGTGACAGTTCGTTTGATATGAAACTATCATTCTATGCGTTATTATTCTAAGCTTTAGACATTATTTTCTCGGTTTTGAGTTTTTGTCACAAGTGTAATGGTCCTTTCAACTATAACGGTGGCAAAGTTGGTGTGAGAGAATATATGATATTTAAAATGGATTCAGTAACTATTAAGACACAATTTATATTCCCGCGGATCGGGATGGAAGCTAATTGTTGTAACGAAATTGTAGGTATATTTAGCATTATCATGTACAAACTAGATAATCAACTTGACATAACATACTAGACAACGTGACAAACTAGATGGCGTATAAACTAGGTAAATTGATGAGCCTACACGCGTCTAGCGTTTCATATTACCTTCATACTACCTACATTTATTTTCTTTCCTTCTAACGCAGGTTACGCTAAATATAATACCTAATTATAATATAGGTGCAGTATTTTGTAGAATATCTCATCGTACAAGCTTTTAGGATTTAAAAAAATACATTAACACACAATAAAATACGATGTGTAGAAATTAACTAGAAAAAGGAAATCTCAAATTACCTACTTCAATTCGGTTGTTCATGTTCAATGAAAAAATATCTTTGTGTATTTTTAAGTACGTAATTCACTTGTGTATTGAGTATGACATTTCCAGGTATGTAGTATGTGTGTTCCAACAAAGTTGACCTTGGTATACATACATACTACTAAAAAAAAGGAAGGAAAAATACGTATTTCTAGTTTTCTTTAGGGGTGTTTTTAAATCCTGTATAAAATCGTAAGTGAAATTACGTGAACAATGTTTATGATTCGCTCTGGACCTTTTGGAGGGAAAAGTGTCGTTTTTATTTTGACTTTCAATTATTTTGTGAAATCTAGTTTAAAGTGGAATAGGATAGTGCTGTTGTGCCTTAATCGAAGATTAAAACGCGAAATTATACGAATCTCCAACTAAAATACCCGTATCGGCCCGTTTTAAGGAATCACGAGTCAATCCAAACACGCCGCCTCAAATTGTCTATCCTCTTTGTGGCGGCCATATTTACAGAAACATAATTGTTTAGGCTTTGCCAAAGCCTTAATAAATTAAAAAAAAAAACAATGTTTATTCCTCCATTCATTATTATATTCATTCATAGATAACCCACATCATAGGTCCATGCTTCTTTTATTTTTTTCCATCCTCTAAGGTCCATGCCCACATCCTCTCCAATTCTTGTAACTCTATCGACAATAGATTGATAGATTGTCTGATTAATAAGCAAAAAACTAAGACACAAAAAAGGAGAAGGTTATACGTTCTCTTGTATACGGTCTAAGCAATAAGGCCTTTAATTAAACTCAGGCTTGGTTTATAAAAACAAAATTCTATGGATTAATATAGTAGATAAATTTACAAGAATTGGAGAGAATGAGGGTTATATTTTTTTGTATCTGATGGAACAGTATACATGTTTGACGTAACTCCACTTAATATATAATAATTCTTCCATGAGGGCTGCGAAATTTCAATAATAAACGAGATAAGCAATCTTCCAAAGCATTCAAAACCTTTAGCAATGAAGAAATTAATTGAGTTATGTAATCCATAAGTGTATCTTTTTTCCGTAGAAAAAAGACGTAACACTTTATTCTAAAATAATTTGGAAAGGTACAATTAAATGCAGTTGCTCTTCGACGTAGGGTACATAGAACTGATATATTTTCAATTTAAATAGTTTTTGCTCGCCCTAAAAAGTAATCTAATAAAAGTAGTTATGCCATTTTTCCTTGGGCGATGCGAAATAGATTTTGTAAAATGATCTTTTATGTTTAAACAAGATACATTGGGTAGAATAGAATGTAAATGAAAGCATTGTTTATGTCTTAAATGATGGAAAAAAATAAAATACATAAACAATGCGTGAACACAGGTGGAGTAAGCCGATAACCGAATGGTGGCCAAGAAATGGATATGGAAACGTGAGACGTCCTGTAGCGAGATGGGTGGACGACATGGTCAAACTTGCGGGTAGTAGATGGATGAGATTAGCACAGGATCGTGGTGGATGGCACAAACTACGGGAGTCCTACACCCAGAAGTGAGTGGAGTCGGGCTGTGGATGATGATGATGAAACTATGCTTACATCTGTTCTATAGCCAAAGTTTTTTGTCTATGGAAAACGAAGAAAAGGCTCTATTGCTTTATGCCAAAGCCGATAAAAATCTACAAAAAAAATGAAAGGAGAATTGTAAGAATTTCGTATTTTATTTGTAAACAAAACAAGTAAAATGTCCTTTAATGCTTTTATATTTCCAACCAGAGTTCCAACAATATTCAAAGGTATGATAAATAGTTAATTGTTTGTTGTGTGCGTGTTTACTGGTTATAATTTTGAGGTTATGTTTCATTCAATGTTATCGTAATTCCTGCCGACTTATTTTATAGAATTTGTTCGTAATGCAAGTAAGAAGACTGGAGGTAGTACAAAGAACACGAACTGCAAGGTGAAGCCGAAGCACAGAGGTTGGAAAGTGCAGGACGGTCACTTTGTTCAGGCGGGGCATATGTTAGCCACACAGAACACTACCAGATTCCACCCAGGTCTAAATGTAAGCAAGTTATAACATAGTGTTAACATATAACTGTACTTCTTAGGGTTCCTCTCCTATCGCAGGTTGGATAATATCATGGCAATCCTGACTTTGGAGGCTGCCGCTCTATAGAGGGAAGTGTTAATGTAGCCGAACTATTTATATCAAAATTTGGAGTAATTTGTACCTACTTATTGTTCTTCCAGCACTTAATGGAGTTCATAAGCCCCACTTTTTTCTTCATTATTTTTTGAGTACTACGTACGTACATTTATTACTCCTATATTTGTAACCCGGTCATACTACGAGATTCTCAAAAT